AGGTCAGAGGTTCAAGCAGAAGATGAGGATGATTCAGGCTGCCCTCAAAAATCTGGAATCCTGAGAGGAGCCAAAGAACACAGAGCATGGGAGATTCACAGAGTCCAAGGGCTTTGTGCTTTCACGGGCCAGAGAACTGGAGGAGTCAAGCAGATGTTATCTAATTTGGGGGGATAGGAGGCCTCTATCCAACTACTCTCAACCCTGAAAATGAAGTGAGAAGAAAACAGGAAAATGTGGTTTGGCTCTATAAATGTGATACTAATTACGGCCATCTGTGCAAGTGCTTTCCATTAATGCTTAATTGCTTACTATGTGGTATAATGACAATTATGCATTGCACAAACTGCGTCAGATTAGCTGACTTTTATTTGCTTCCATATGGGGTGATGTTCCTCACACTCCGGAGTAAGCCTGGTTTGGTAGCCTGGTTGTCTATGGGCTAACATAGTGTGGGTTTACTTACAACTTAAAAATATATATACATAGGCACAACACTCAGCATAGAGGTAATTCTCTCCTCTGAGAGGCAGATTACCTCTTGCTGGTTCAAATGTCAGTATGTTGTCTGTTTTGGGGGCTTGGTAAAAAAAAAATGAGAATGTGACTTCTATCTGCATTTTATCTTTTGACCTTTTTTATTTAGGAGATCTATAAAGTGTCCTTGCCAAAGCGACTAGATCCCTACACACTTCTAAAACAGAATTTGAATAACCATTCCCAACCAGTGTTAATAACTCACCCTAAGTAAATGCTTCAGAGAAGAGAATAAAATTCAGAAACCATTCTTCAGGGTACAGTTAATAGAGACAGTGAATGAAAAGGCTCTCCAGTGGTTCCCCGTAAAGAACAGCTTGGAAGTAAAAGACACCAGCTCATGAATCCCAAAGGTAACTTCTAAGTAGGTGCCTCAAACGGTCTTCCAAACTCTTCCTTCTGGCCTACTATGTGTCAGACTCTGGTCCAGGCACTGTGATAGCAGGGTGTTGGGGTCTGGAGGCCAACATAAAATACATGAGTATCTTATAAAGCCTCCTTTCTTTTCTTATTTTTTTTTTTCCTCCTTTCTTTTCTTAGGGAGATGCTAACTTGGTTCGGTGAGGGGCCAAAGATGATTCAAGAGGCCCTTGAGATCAACTGAATACACATTCTTCTCAAGTCCACATGGAACTTTCTCCAGAATAGACCACATACTGGGTCACAAATCGGGTCTGAACCGATACCAAAAGATTGGGATCGTCCCCTGCATATTCTCAGACCAATTTGCCTTGAAATGAGAACTAAATCAAAACAAGAAGCTTGGAAGGACTTCAAACACATGGAGGTTAAGGACCATCTTGCTAAAAGATGAAAGGGTCAACCAGGAAATTAAGGAAGAATTAAAAAGATTCATGGAAACTAATGAGAATGAAGATACAACCATTCAAAATCTTTAGGATGCAGCAAAAGCAGTCCTAAGGGGGAAATACATCGCAATACAAGCATCCATCCGAAAACTGGAAGGAACTCAAATACAAAAGCTAACCTTACACCCAAAGGAGCTAGAGAAAAAACAGCAAATAGATCCTACACCCAGGAGAAGAAGAGAGTTAATAAAGATTTGAGCAGAACTCAACGAAATCGAGACCAGAAGAACTGTGGAACAGATCAACAACCCCAGGAGTTGGTTCTTTGAAAGAAATAACAAGATAGATAAACCATTAGCCAGCCTTATTAAAAAGAAGAGAGAGAAGACTCAAATAAATAAAATCATGAATGAGAAAGGAGAGATCACTACCAACACCAAGGAAATACAAACGATTTTAAAAACATATTATGAATATATATATATATATATATATATATATATATATATAAAATGCCAATACATTAGGCAATCTAGAAGAAATGGATGCATTTCTGGAAACCACAAATTACCAAAACTGGAACAGGAAGAAATAGAAAACCTGAACAGGCCAATAACAAGGGAGGAAATTGAAGCAGTCATCAAAAACCTCCCAAGACAAAAAAGTCCAGGGCCAGATGGCTTCCCAGGGGAGTTCTATCAAACATTTAAAGAAGAAACCATACCTATTCTACTAAAGCTGTTTGGAAAGATAGGAAGAGATGGAGTACTTCCTAATTCCTTCTATGAGGCCAGCATTACCTTAATTCCAAAACCAGACAAAGACCCCATCAAAAAGGAGAATTACAGACCAACATCCCTGATAAACATGGATGCAAAAATTCTCAACAAGATACTAGCCAATAGGATCCAACAGTACACTAAGAAAATTATTCACCATGACCAAGTAGGATTTATCCCCGGGACACAAGTCTGGTTCAACACTCGTGAAACAATCAATGTGATTCATCATATCAGCAAGAGAAAAACCAAGAACCATATGATCTTCCCATTAGATGCAGAGAAAGCATTTGACAAAATACAGCATCCATTCCCGATCAAAACTCTTCAGAGCGTAGGGACAGAGGGAACATTCCTCAACATCTTAAAAGCCATCTACGAAAAGCTCACAGCAAATATCATTCTCAATGGGGAAGCACTGGGAGCCTTTCCCCTAAGATCAGGAACAAGACAGGGTGTCCACTCTCACCACTGCCATTCAACATAGTATGGAAGTCCTAGCCTCAGCAATCAGACAACATAAAGACATTAAAGGCATTCAAATTGGCAAAGAAGAAGTCAAACTCTCCCTCTTCGCCGATGACATGATACTCTACCTAGAAAACCCAAAAGCCTCCACCCCAAGATTGCTAGAACTCATACTGCAATTTGGCGGTGTGGCAGGATACAAAATCAATGCCCAGAAGTCAGTGGCATTTCTATACACTAACAATGGGACTGAAGAAAGATAAATTAAGGAGTCAGTCCCAGGGGATCCCTGGGTGGCGCAGCGGTTTGGCGGCTGCCTTTGGCCCAGGGCGCGATCCTCGAGACCCAGGATCGAATCCCACATTGGGCTCCCAGTGCATGGAGCCTGCTTCTCCCTCTGCCTGTGTCTCTGCCTCTCTCTCTCTCTCTCTGTGACTATCGTAAATAAAAAAATAAAAAAATTAGAAGGGAGGGACTGCAAAGTGTAGTCCTATACTTTAAAAAAAAAAAAAAGGAGTCAATCCCATTTACAATTGCACCCAAAAGCATAAGATACCTAGGAATAAACCTAACCAAAGAGGTAAAGGATCTATACCCTAAAAACTATAGAACACTTCTGAAAGAAATTGAGGAAGACACAAAGAGATGGAAAAATATTCCATGCTCATGGATTGGCAGAATTAATATTATGAAAATGTCAATGTTACCCAGGGCAATTTACACGTTTAATGCAATCCCTATCAAAATACCATGGACTTTCTTCAGAGAGTTGGAACAAATTATTTTAAGATTTGTGTGGAATCAGAAAAGACCCCGAATAGCCAGGGGAATTTTAAAAAAGAAAACCATATCTGGGGGCATCACAATGCCAGATTTCAGGTTGTACTACAAAGCTGTGGTCATCAAAACAGGACAATAACAGACACATAGATCAATGGAACAGAATAGAGAACCCAGAAGTGGACCCTCAACTTTATGGTCAACTAATATTCGATAAAGGAGGAAAGACTATCCACTGGAAGAAAGACAGTCTCTTCAATAATGGTGCTGGGATAATTGGACATCCACATGCAGAAGAATGAAACTGGACCACTCTCTTGCACCATACACAAAGATAAACTCAAAATGGATGAAAGATCTAAATGTGAGACAAGATTCCATCAAAATCCTAGAGGAGAACACAGGCAACACCCTTTTTGAACTCGGCCACAGTAACTTCTTGCAAGATACATCCACGAAGGCAAAAGAAACAAAAGCAAAAATGAACTATTGGGACTTCATCAAGATAAGAAGCTTTTGCACAGCAAAGGACACAGTCAACAAAACTAAAAGACAACCTACAGAATGGGAGAAGATATTTGCAAATGACGTATCAGATAAAGGGCTAGTTTCCAAGATCTATAAAGAACTTATTAAACTCAACAGCAAAGAAACAAACAATCCAATCATGAAATGGGCAAAAGGCATGAATAGAAATCTCACAGAGGAAGACATAGACATGGCCAACAGGCACATGAGAAAATGCTCTGCATCACTGGCATCAGGGAAATACAAATCAAAACCACAATGAGATACCACCTCACACCAGTCAGAATGGGGAACATTAACAAGGCAGGAAACCACAAATGTTGGAGAGGATGCGGAGAAAAGGGAAGCCTCTTACACTGTTGGTGGGAATGTGAACTGGTGCAGCCACTCTGGAAAACTGTGTGGAGGTTCCTCAAAGAGTTAAAAATAGACCTGCCCTACGACCCAGCAATTGCACTGCTGGGGATTTACCCCAAAGATACAGATGCAATGAAACACCGGGACACCTCCACCCCGATGTTTATAGCAGCAATGTCCACAATAGGCAAAATGTGGAAGGAGCCTCGGTGTCCATCGAAAGATGAATGGATAAAGAAGATGTGGTCTATGTATACAATGGGATGTTACTCAGCCATTAGAAACGACAAATACCCACCATTTACTTCAACGTGGATGGAACTGAAGGGTATTATGTTGAGTGAAGTAAGTCAGTCGGAGAAAGACAAACAGTGTATGTTCTCATTCATTTAGGGAATATAAATAATAGTGAAAGGGAATAGAGGGGAAAGGAGAAGAAATGTGTGGGAAATATCAGAAAGGGAGACAGAACATAAAGACTCCTAACTCTGGGAAACGAACTAGGGGTGATGGAGGGGAGGAGGGCGGGGCGTGGGGGTGAATGGGTGGCGGGCACTGAGGGGGGCACTTGATGGGATGAGCACTGGGTGTTATTCTGTATGTTGGCATATTGAACACCAATAAAAAATAAATTTATTATTAAAATAGCAAAATGGAAAAAAGAAAAAAAAAGAGGCCCTTGAGAGAGCAGAGAGTGAGGGCAGATGAGGACAGTACAGATACATCAGCAAAGCAATCTTACTTCTGCAAGTCGTCTGATCTGAGTTGAGGATGTACCCTTGTTTGCACCTGCAGACGTATGAGCCGGGGGTATTGATGCAGAAGTGGGCACAGTTATGCTCCAGGACGCTGCACATGTGGACCACTGAAAGGGAAGATACAGCAAGTTAAGGCAATGATGATGCCTTCTCTGACTTCATCCACCCACATTTATCAGAACCTACTGTCAAGGAGAAAGCAGGACCGAAAGGAAAACAAACTGCAGTCCATACCCTCAAGGGGACTTAGAGACTCTGGTTGGACAGTCAGTCTAGGTAAATGCCATCAGCAATATATAGATCAAGGGCCACAGAGAGTTAAAGGGAAATGATACTAGGTTGACATGTGACATAGCTGATAAAAATGGGTCAAAAATGACCTACCAAAAAACAGAAATTTCATGGTTCAATTAATAATACTCGACTGGGGACCCAGAAAGTTTGCTGATACCCGAGGGGGCATTGGCTAATGCGTAGATTTTCAGTAGCAGCAATGGCGATGGAGGACAAGCTATTAGTTAAATGAGGATATGGTAAAGAGTCAACAGTTTTTTTTAGGACCATAAATCCCCAGAGCAATCTTTTAATACACGAAGTGTCACACAGAATATTTTGGAGTAAAAAATGCACATCTAAGTTCTATGTTTCCATAATCTTTTTTTTTTTTAACTTATGATAGTCACAGAGAGAGAGAGAGAGAGAGAGGCAGAGACACAGGTGGAGGGAGAAGCAGGCTCCATGCACCGGGAGCCTGATGTGGGATTCGATCCCGGGTCTCCAGGATCGCACCCTGGGCCAAAGGCAGGCGCCAAACCGCTGCGCCACCCAGGGATCCCCATGTTTCCATAATCTTTCTGTCTTTTCAATTTAAAATATTTCTGCATTTAGTTTCTGAAGTACTTTGATTTTCAGATACATCAGTTCTTGCATAAGTCTATCTGGAGCTCATAAAAATTCTCATTTTTTTACATCTTAGTTTATTACTTTATTCAAATAATTCAACTTGAACATATTTAAAATTAACAAGCATCATTATAAACAGAGTACAAGTTATGTAAGTGTTCTCAAACAAAAAAAGATGTCCATATGCAGGAATAGATTTTTTATGAAGCCAAAATAAAAGAGGCTTTCAAAAGCTAAGAACAATCTCATTAATCCAGCACTTAGGAAAATTGAGCTATTGATGAAATTGATGACATACCTTACATTCATGTCTCATTACTTCTAAGTAAGAAATACTGTGGGAAATAAAAGGAGTAAAAGTTTTAAAATTCTTAACAATAAAATTTAGAATGATTGTTGTGAGTTTATAATTCTTTGTGTTTTAATTCCTGTTAAGATACAATGTTTGGAAAGTTCATAGATTAAAATCCAATCAATCAGTTTTACTTTGGTGTGAAAAAAAATCTATTTCTGTGATCTAGGCAATTTTTCTTAACCTCCATTTGCATAAAATAGCACCTACCTCATACGGGCTTTGTAAAGGTTAAAATAATTAAGATAGTAAAGTGCTTAGAACAGTGCCCTGGGGGACTGCTCCATATGTTAGCTATATATAGCAAAGGGAAGCATGGAGGTTTATTGTCTTATTTTACATATGTGGGCTCATTCTATATGTCTGATTGTCAGCTTGGATTTCCACTCAATGCTGACCACAGATGCTATCTGTATTGATGTATATACTGTCTTTCAGGGACTCTAAGATGCACCCCAATTTGAAAGATGTTAAAATGTGAAACCATGTACAATTGATCTTAATTATTCACAGACTCCGTATTTGTGAACTTGCCTACTCACTAAGATTTATTGGTAATCCTGAAATCAATACTCAGAGTGCTTTCGCACTCATTCAGCGGCATGCTCAGTGATGAAAAATGTGAATCTGCTGACGTGCACATTGCAAGCGGAGGTGGGATAAAGCGAAGCCCTGCCTCTTTGTTGCAGCTCTCAGATGGTAAACAGGTATCTTTTTCAAACACTATTTAGTGCCACATTTTAAAAATTTTTGTGCTTTTTTTTTTTTTTTTTTTTTTGGTGTTTTGCTGTTTAGCATGGCCCCAAGCAGAGCGCGGAAGTGCTGGTGTTTGCTGACACGAGGCGCTTGTGAAGTGGGTCTAGTGCTCCTAAGTGCAAGCAGGCTCTGAGGCGCTTCACAGGGAAAATTGTATGTTAAATCAATTGCATGCCTGCAGAAATAATAGTACTATTGGCTGTGAGTTCAGTGTTAATGAAGCAACATATATGTTGAATAAAGTGCCTTTAAACACATAGAACAAGGTTATATGTTATCAGTTGACAAAAATGTGGACACTAGAGGCTTATAGGAACCTAATTCTGTATTTCCCTTAGGAGCCATGGTTCGGTATTTGCAAATTCAGCATTCACCATAACTTTACAGAACATAATTCTGAGAATGATGAGAATCAACTGTATATCTTATATTTGATCAAATACATTAGGTCTAGTTTATTCCTTTCAATCACTTTATTGATTGGTCCTACGAGTCTTCCTCGTGTTTAGCCATTTCCCCATAAGCCATCACTTGAGCAGTCACCAAATTTTCACTTTCATGAGGCTGAGATGTACATTCTCAAACACATCTCGAGCACATGTGCAGTGGTTTCACTAGAGCTCGGTCCTGGTTTGAACAGATGTGGCATAATTGCCTTGCAAGGTGGTTCACGCCAGCAGAGCACAAGAGAAACAATTCCCACACAAAAAACCTCAGCACTCAGGATTAACACAATGTTAAGTTTCCAACAGTCGTGAGTGTGGAAAATCATTATCCTGTTTTTAATTTGCATTTGCTATGCACCCTGGAAGGCTCTCTTCCTTTCCCGGATGGCTGGAGCCCAGTGGCCCACAGGCATGGGGTTGTCTCTGAGGAGCTCTCAGCATGTCCCTCTCCTGGGTAATGAAGGAAGTCTCAAGTCAAGGCAACCAGCAGCACAGCAGTTAGCCACTGGTGTAAGGCCCAGGTGATGAGCCTGGTGCCTGCCTGTCTTCTCACCAGGACCCTGGCAGACGAATTAAGGGAACAGGAGATGTGAGGTAGAGAAAGCACGCGTCGGCAGCAGGCAGCACAGTGGTGACGAGGGCGACTCCTGGAAGCAGACTGCCTGAAGGCTCTGCTTCACCACTTACTGTGACATTGTATGAATTACTTATTTTCCCTAAACTTCCCTTTCTTCACCTGTCAAATGGGGAAATTACAAGAACTCTTGAAGAGGGTTTTGGAATGACAGCTCATTACTACAGCTTGTTTTGGCCATGTGTTGTAAAAGAATCGGAAGCAGGAGACTATAAGTTGGTCTCACGGAAAGTGCGTTGGAGAAGGGAAGATTTGGATGAGAAGGGGAGAAGGTGCTCCAGTTCACCTCTACCTGAACAAGGGAGAGGAGTTCAGGTAAGTTGGGTAGCCCTTCTAGACCTGTTTCTTTACCTGTAGAATAAAGGCATGAATGGTGTCTAGGGCCCCTCAGCACAGACACTTAGTATTTTGTCTGTGCAGCACCATCCACCTCCTTTTCTAGAAATCGCCCTTCCTTCTCACCTCAAATGCATGGGAACTGTCAGAGCTGCCCACGTGTTGGGAGGAGGCAGCCCCCTCCTGGATGCCACTGGCCTGCAGAGAGTCCTTCCTTGGCATCCAGGAATGAGAACTGAGGAGAAAGGGCCTTAAACCAAGGGCAAGGACATATGGGGGGCTGGCAGGTTGCATGCCTTCTGCTCCTGAGGCAGAGGGAGGAGGTGGAGAGAAAGTGGGGCTGCCATTCACTCCTCTCCTCCTTATTTCCATGAGGGCATATAATACCATCTCCCCTACCCCCAAAAGCTAGTTCAAATCAAATTTCTGTTATTTTCTTTTTTTTTCTTTTCTTTTTTTTTTTTAATTTATGACAGTCACAGAGAGAGAGAGAGAGAGGCAGAGACACAGGCAGAGGGAGAAGCAGGCTCCATGCACCGGGAGCCCGATGTGGGATTCGATCCCGGGTCTCCAGGATCGCGCCCTGGACCAAAGGCAGGCGCCAAACCACTGCGCCACCCAGGGATCCCAAATTTCTGTTATTTTCAAGCAAAAGAATCCCAAACATTTTGACTGAGATAAAATAAAAATTCTCCATCTGTCAAACTTTATGGATGAGTGATTGGGGTTTCCAAGAACTTCAAGGCCCTCACACCCAGCTGTCCCGTGCAACCAACTGGGCTCTGTGCCATGATGCAGGGGAGGTTGTCCTGCCTCCTCCACTCACCTCCACAAGGCCTGACAGGTTGCAAGTGGGTCAAGGCTTTGTGTTCTGCGGAAGGAATCACTAGTCAGCAGACCACATCATTGGCAGAATTGGATTTTGCTTTAACTAAAAGATAGAAATGTGTATAAATGCTTATTAACAAATGCATAAATGATCAAAGGAGTGGCAGGGCTGACTAGAGGTCTAGAAAGGAACAATTGTTGGGTACAAAGAGCCAACCTTTGTTGAAGTCAGTCTTGTCTCTCACTTAACACCAGAGCCTCAAAGAGCTGTAGTAAGTGTAGACTTTGCCCAGGCTGGTTCACAAAAGGTCTTAGGAATACTATGAGAGCCTTAATGCATGCCTGACCTGGGTGGGATGGGGCTATTAGCATAGGAACAGGAGCATTCAGGCTCCAACTACCAGCCCTGGTCGATACAGCAGGTAGCAAGAGGTTAATTAAAAGCAGTCCTGCCCAGGTTACAATGAGTCATCAGAAAGCTCCGGGTAGACCTGAGTTTTTCAGCCCCTAGATTCAGTGTCCTCTCGCACTGGGTGGCAAAAATGGCAGACCCTGGGATGTGTAGGTTTTGGTCATCTTGTAGACAGGTTCTCACTTCACAGGATCCCTCCTCTCCAAGTCTCTCTGGGGCTCTCAGGGGTGGCCTGAGAATGCAACCTCAGCATTCTCCCTCCTGCTGTGGCTGGTGTAGGAATTTACTGCCCGTGGATATAAAGCCACCGCTGTGCCCAAGTTCATGACCACACAGCCGGTGAAAGCCAGAACTAGGTCTGCCACTCAGGGGCACCCTGGCTTCAGAGCCTAATCTCTTCCTAGTTTTACAATAAAGTTTCCTGCTTTGATCACTCAGGACGACTGCCTATCTCTTCCGATCCACAGATCCAGCAGCATTTTTCAGCTCAGCTAGAAGCGTAGGAGTCTTAGCCCTCCAACCCTCAGAAATCCTGTTCTTTGCATGGTGGCCTCCACTTCTATGCCTACCCCTTTGTGTGCAGTTTTCAAATGGTGGGTCAAGTCTCCTTAACAGGTTACAACATTATGAGAGAATCTGAACTAGTTCTTTGCTGCTGTTGTTATTGTTTAATGAAATAAAAAAGTCAATTAAAAAATCATTCCTTTCCTGGCTTATTGCCATGGCCCAACCCCTTCCCCTACCCCAGTAGCCAGGAAACTCCAACTCATCAGTCAAGTCTGTGTAGCACAGAGTGGTTAAGATATAGGCTCTGAGGCAGTAGGCCTGGGCCGACATCTCAACTCTACCATAGTGTTGTGTGACCTTGGACAAGTCATTGAACCTCTCTGGGTCTCAATTTTCTCTTCTGTAAAATGACAGTTGTAAGAACACCTACTTCGAAGATTTGTTGTGTGAGAAAAATGAGTTAACATATGCTAATAGGTCAAACCAGTGCATTAATATTATATTAATATCAATAAATGATAATGATTATTATCATCTCCTTTCTAAAGCCCTCTTAGAACCCCTAGAGAGCCCCACGTGTTCTTTGACCCTCAGTGCCAGGTGACTCTCAGAAGTGCACATTTTAGATAGGTGGCATCCTATTTCTCTGTGAGGAGAGCATCTTCCCAGCAGCCTATAACCCTCAGGCCTGGCACATGGAGCATAAGAGCTTGGGCCAGAGAGCCTGCAATCTGAATCTCCAGCCCTGCTATTTGAAATTGCTTATCTTTTCTAAGGCTCAGTTTACACTTCTGTAAAATGGGAATGATAAGAGCACCCGCCTCATAAGACTGTTGTAAGTATTAAATGCATACAGAAGGACAAAATTAGCTATTAATAACAGAATGTAGCTCAACAAATATTTAAGGAACAAATGAGACTTCCAAAACCTCACAGATGCCTGGAACTTCAAAGATATTCCTTGCTGTTGTCTGATAATTGGAGTGCGGGTCAAAACTGAGGCCATCTGCCTAGCCTGCTGGTCCTCTGTGTATCTGACTGTAATCACACACAGCATGGCACACACTGTATAGGGCTCTACAGTTGATAACGCCCCTTCACACATCTACTCTGTAGGTAAAATCCCCATTTTACACATTGCAAAGTATTGTACAGATGGCGTGGGGATGAGATTCAAGTCTGCCCCTCCTCCTATCCTACAAAGGCTTCCTGTCAAATTCTGAGGCAAATGCCAACCTCAAAGCTGGTTGACCTTGCAAGGCTAGACTGTGGAGGTGGCCACCTTAATGGTTGCCACCTTAAAAGAAAATGGTTTACCTTAAAAGAGCAATTTACAACCCCTGACACGTGGAGGAGCTCAATGAGCAAGAAGTTTGCAAATAGAACCCACCGACCAGGAATTCACTTAAGCTGTTTACTAAGGTGTAAAGAAGGAGGGATGCTACTGCGTTGCTTCCCCCAGATTTTCGCGAGGATCAAATACAAGAACAGAAGGTAAAGTGCTTTACAAATATTAGTTATTGCAGTCTTTATTGCAGGGTTGAGAAAGGGGCCCCCGAGCCTCCTCAACCTTTTTAGACATTAACAGGTCTGCTCAGCAGAAGCCCACCAGGCCATGGGAGGTGGGAGAGGAGCTAGTTCCCTGCTGGTGGCCAGGGGGATTCAGTTCCCAGGCCACACAAACAAACCAATAGCCCTATGTTCTTAGGGCTTCTGGATTACAACCAAGGGTGGGGTGGAGGGCCCAAACTGCCTTTTAATTTTGCTGCCTGACCATAAACACACAGAGAAGGTTTTTCTTCAGACAAGGCTACATCCTCAGCCTCATACTGCCTTTTCATTTGCTGATAAATCCAGAGCGCTCAGAAAATAACTCCTCCATTGACATTTTCCAAAACAAATGCATAAACTCATCAAAACGGTTATGGAACCAATTTCTTTTTTAATATTTCCAGGAAAGGGGGAATATAAATTCTGCAGAAGTCATTTAAAGTCATAAACCTTAAAATATTTGTAGCTCATTCTACTGGTGGAAGTTGACCAGGTGACCGGGGCTCTTCTGCGGTGCCAGGACAAATGGCACTTTTGAAAATTCTCCAAATGACAGGGCAGAGAAAAAAGTTCTTTTTCCTTCATGGCATTGATTTATTTTTTAATGAATCTTTTGATTTGGGAGTCAAGAAACAATGGAATCTCTGCTTTTTGAGGTTAGTTCTCAGCCGGGTATATATATATATATATATATATATATATATATGACACATCAAAACACACTGTTTTTCCTCCCTGAGGCTTTGGTGGGGGGGAACAGAGGTCTCTAAGCTGTGTCAGAGTCTGAGAACAGAGTCGAGTCCTCAGAGCCCCCAGGGGGACAGAGTCCTGATCCTGGGGAGCTGGAAATGAGTCTAGTCCTTAAGCTCATTCTCCACAGATACTCCTGGGGAACACTAATGATTTCAAAATAGATCTTTCCTTTTGCTTTCCCATCAAAGAAGCATGGCAGTTGGAGGGGACAGGAATAAAGGGAGGTGGGCAAGGTAGGACTGGACACGGTTTACCAGTTCAGAGGCACGTTTCCAGTTTCCAGGGACTGGCAAGGAGACTAGGTAGGCCTCCTGGGCCACTGCCCTCCTGGAGGAGGAAAGCACAGGAAGCCAGAGGCAGAAACAGGAAACTGGGAAGAGAGCGAGCAGACTTGCGGGGGGCGAAGTTGAGGCATGAGTTCTGGGCACAGGTCCCTGAGAACCAGATAACAAGGAAGGGACAGAGAAATCTCATGGAGAGGAGGGTTAGAAAGCAAGAGGGGCGGGTATTAGGCTGACTGAAATAAGTCAATTGGAGAAAGGAAATTATCAAATGATTTCACTCCTATGTAGAATATAAGAAACAGGTCAAGGGACCATAAGGGAAGGAGGGAAACTGAGTGGGGTAAAAATCAGAGAGGAAGACAAACCATGAAAGACTCCTAGCTCTGGGGAACAAACTGAAGGTTGCTGGAGGGGAGGTGGGTGGAGGGATGGGGTAACTGGGTGATGGGCACTGAGGAGGGCATGTGATGGGATGAGCACTGGATGTTATACTATACGTTGGCAAATTGAATTTAAATAAAAATTAAAAAAATAAATAAAACCATAAAAAAGGATTGAATAAAATGGTAATAAAAAGTAAAAAAAAAGAAAGAAAGAAAGACAAGCAAGAGAGGGCAGATGAGCCTTACAGCAGAAGGCAGCTCAAGGACGTGGGGAGGCATCCCCCCTGCAGAAGGAGGTGACCTCAGCTCAGGCCTTCTTATGCACTGGGCCTCTCTGAGGAGGAAGCATCCACCACTTGCATCACCATGGGGCAATGGTGCTTGGTATTGGACCCCATCCAAGGAGACATTATGGTATTTTTTTGCCCTCCTATTCTCATCTATACTCCGACTCACAAATTCTAACTTAGGAAATGCCAGCGCAGTCCAATGTGCTGGAGAAATACTGCCTATCTACTCGTGGTCATTCAACAGTGTGGGTTTAAACGTCCATTCCTCAGAGAAATCTCCCCGAACTCCCTGGCCTTGGTTGAGTCCTGCCCTGCATTCTTCCTCCATGACACTGTCATGACTACAGTTACTTACTCATCTGTGTCACTGTCTCCTTATTATCTGCCTCCTTGGCTAGAGTGCAACCCCAAGAGAACACTGTGTCTATCCTGGCCTTTGTGGAGCACTGCTTCCCTGCACAGTACCTGGGATAAGGTAGCACAGAATCTATGCTGAAAGGTAAAAGAAGGAATCCTCCACAGGGGAGCAGGACTTACTGCACAACTTCTTCTGGAACACCGAGGTCAGGGACTCCATCTGGCTGAAGTTGGCCACCAGGAAGACATGGTCCTCATAGGGCTCGCTCCCGATGGCCTTCAGTGTGTTGAGGTCCACCTGGCCCACACCGATGGCAAAGATCAGGATGCCTGTGTCGCGTGCCTTGGCAGCCACCTCAGCCACGGAGTCCTGTGGCCTCCCATCAGTCACAATCATTATGACCCTCAGCACGTTCTCTCTCAGGGGCCGTGCCCCCTCTGCTTCTGAGAATGCAATGTTCAGGGCATACTGGATGGCCAGCCCCGTCATGGTGCCTGTGGACAGGTGCCTCATCCTCTTGACGGCACGCTCCACTTCAGACTTCCTCTTGAAGGTCTTGAGGGAGAACTCGTTCTTGATGGTGCTGCCATACTGCAGCAGGCCCACTCGGGTGAGGTCAGGACTGATGTCCAAGAACTGCAAGATGTCCAGGATGAACTCCTTAACTTTTGCATAGTCATGGGTGTTGACGCTGCGGGAGCTGTCGATGATGAAGACCAGGTCTGCCTGTTTATTCTCACAGGAGCTCTCTGGGGAAAGAGGAGAGGTCAAACTCATTGGAGGAGTGCTAAGGGCCAGTGCAGGCTGGCTGTTACTGGAATTCCTAGGGCTGGGGGTCATCTTTGGAACTCCAGTCTTCATTGGTCTTTCTTCCCCACTCAGAGAAGCTGTAAGTATATAATGTGCATGATGGGGTGATCATGAGTATTGGCTACAAACAGATACTATTAATTTTTTGCAAGATAAATGAACACTTCGGTTCCTAAAACGTCATCGATACAGTTTTTTTTTAATTTTTTTTAAATTTATTTATTTATGATAGTCACAGAGAGAGAGAGAGAGAGAGGCAGAGACACAGGCAGAGGGAGAAGCAGGCTCCATGCACCGGGAGCCCGATATGGGACTCGATCCCGGGTCTCCAGGATCGCGCCCTGGGCCAAAGGCAGGCGCCAAACCGCTGCGCCACTCAGGGATCCCTCAATACAGTTTTAAGATGAGCAAACCCCTGATCAGGGTCAAACATGATTTTATTATTTAGTGCAGGCCACAAAAGCTTGGCTGGATACTGCATGGCATATACCACAAGCCTACAACGGGGAGCACCATCAAGGAGCTTACAGTCTACCTTGGGAACTTAACGAATGTAATGAATGAAAGAATAATTAGCATTAAGCAGAGTGGTGCGGACAGTAGATGTTCAGAGAACAGGGATGTTAGGAGGCTGGGGCCAAGAAGATAGGACATGAATGAGTTTTATGCAGTGTTGGGATTGAAAGTAGGAACACACGAAGAGAGACCCATGAACGGAAGCCTAAGATGGCAGGAATAATGGCGGAAATGGAAGAAGCGATGAAGGAATTGCTGGAGGTACAGACAGGAATGGAGCTGGTGGCGGGTAACCTGAAGCCAGCCATGAAAGGCCCAAGAAGTGCATGTGTGATACCACAAGTGATGGGCATAATACCTTAGCATCATATTACATAACTCTGATGGCCTGTTACATAATAACAGGTCAATTGAGGGTGGCAGTGGTTTGCAAGGTGGGTGAGGCAGTACCACTGCTGCACTCATCTGGTTGAGAGGGGGACTCAACCTCAACTGGTGGGGGGTGGGGGGAGAGGCAGGGCATCGTGGAACCAGAGAAGGAACCGACCAAGAAATATATTTCAACAATAGATACCATTAGACGGGAAAAAGGCAAATGTGGAATCTCTGTCTTACCCCCACATGCTATTCCTTCAGACTCCAAGCAAGAAGGCTAAAAGGGGTATGAATCTGTGGACAAAACTCATCACCTCCTGGGAAGAAGCTGATATGGGATAAACCAAAAGGCCTTCTGCCTCAGAGGTTGGAGGTTGGAATTTCTCAGATGTTCTGAGCTATTGCCTTCCAGCCAAGGGAGTCCCCCTCCCCTTCCCAGACTCTGTAGCTAAATCCAGATTTGATGAGGATTAGAAAAGGGATCCCAAATGCTTGACCTAAATCCCAATCACCACAGCTGCAAGAAAGAGAGACAAAGCCAAATATGAGACAGTGAACCCAGTCATCAAAATGACAAGTCGGAAAGGCCCATGAGGTCATCCTGTCCAGGCCGGCTTGCCAGGCTGTGACTCGTCCCGAGAGCCTGTGCACAAACCTCGTCCACTGTAGCCTTATAAGTTTTCCAATTTGGGAGTGAGGAAGCACCCCCAAACAACAGCATCCCAACAGAAGACCAACCTTGTGCTGCACCCACATATAACACTGGGGCTGTGTGAATTCAAAGTGAGTTTCTCAAACCAGAGGCCCCAGAAAACCACCTTTGAGACTCTGGGAGAAAGATCAATATAAAATCTGACTTTGTGGGATGTTTTCAAATCTTTTTTCCAGAGCACATTCATCACTGTGGTCTCATTTGATTTTCAGAATAAGCTCTTAAGAGGGAAGCAGAGTATCATACCCACTAGAAGCATGAGAAAATGGAAGCCCCAAGAGTTGGAGAATCTCTTCTTTTGCAGAGAAATACCTATATGAAGACAGGGCAACACCCAATGCATTAAGTGGTAGTGAGACTTTTGGGAACTGGTGTGGGGGAAGAGGGTGGCCTCGCATTCTTGTCTTCCCACACTGCCCCCCACTTCTCTCCTGTGAGACCCAGCCTCTGGAGGAGAAGGCTGCTGCTCCTGGCTGTGTATGTAGTCCGTGTTGCACAGACTCCTGCCCCACGAGGCAAGTGGCTGAAATCCAGCCCAGCCCTGAGCCCCCAGGACTGTGTCCACCCTGAGAAGTGCCTAGGAGTGCCTCTTCTAATTTTCACAAAGGTGCCTCTGGTCTAGCATACAGCCCTTGGTCAGAGCCATGAATGATGGACTTACAGGTCCCAGGTCCCAGGCCGGCCCCTGCCCAGAAGCCATCTGCACCCACCAGTGATGTGTGAACCTATCACAGGGAGAATGACCTAGTGATCTCTGCCTGCTGAGGGCATCTGCAACAACCCTGCCACAGAGGAAGATATTAAGGAAAGGCTGCTTGGAAGGGGGAGAGGAGACTGTAGATTGGCCCCCTGAGCAGTCTTCCTCCAGAGATGTTTGGAAGCAGGAATTCCTCTGGGGCTGGGTTCTTTGCTGTGGGTCTTAATCACAGTGTAAACATCCCACCAAGCATCACACTCAATTTAAAGGGAAGCCTGGAAGTTCCATGGGGAATTATGTGATAAATTGGATTAGTGCCCATCAAAACAAGCGTGTTGTTTCCACAATGCCTGGGCATTTACAAAAACACCACAAAGTTTCAAAATGTTGGAGGTTCCCAAGGAGCTGTGACTGAGTTGAAAGTGAATCTTGACAGCCCAAGTGACTCAGTTTTCTTCAGGACAACTTCTCAGGTTCCTTAAGGGCTCAGAACCACAGTCTTGCAGCTTGTCCCTGAGAGGACAGTTCAGTGGTTCTTAAACTTGAGGTGCCTCCCAACTCCCTGGAGAAGTGTTAAAAACTAAGATTGGTGGGCCACACCTCCAGAGTTTCTGATTCTTTAGATCTAGGGTGGCACCAAAAAAATCTGCATTTCTAGCAAGTTCTCAGGTGAACTACTGGTACTACAATGCTACTGGTACGGTGACCACACTTTGAGAACCACTAATTTAAGTACTAGAGAGATTTATGGAGGAAAGAAATTCTGGTAAGTCTCAACCTCAGCATAAGACTGTAAATTCTCCAAAGTGGGAAACTTGTCTCACTCATCTTCCTGACTATGCGATTGGGAACAAAGTAAGTCTTCAATCAACATTTGTGGAATTAAATGAAATTCTTGGTGGTGAAGCAAGGTTTCAAGTGAAAGGGATTGAGCCAGAGCAGTCAGTTCAAGGAGATGGATGAGGACCACAAAGTGAAAAAGTTCTAAAGCAGAAACAGGTGTGGGTCCTGCTAATAGAGTCACAGATTCTAGACCAAAATCTTTGCCATTTTATGAGGAAGCATAGCCACTTATGAACTTTGGTTCATAGACTCATAGACTAATAAACTCAGCTGGAGTGGTCTATATAAAGTCCAAGTCACTCATTTTACAGAAGGGGAAACTGAGGCTCACTCCACCTCTCTGAGGCCTTGTGGCTCATTAGGGCCAGACTTGGGATTATACTGATGGCTCTTCCACCATGGAAGGCATCATGGTGGGCACTTTGGAAAATTCTCAATACAGCCAGCATTACAACATGAGCTTTATAGGGATGCCTGAGAGGCTCAGCTGTTGAATGTCTGCCTTCGGCTCAGGGCGTGGTCCCGGAGACCCACAATTGAGTCCCACATTGGGCTCCCTGCAGGGTGCCTGCTTCTCCATCTGCCTGTGTCTCTGCCTCTCTCTGTGTCTCTCATGAATAAATAAAATCTTGAAAAATAACTATAAACAACATGAACTCTATAAATGCTTTGGAATATTTGCTGTGAAGAACCCCAACAGATTTTCCACACAGGGACTGCTAAGAGATGTTTGTAGAAAGTGGACTTTCCTCTGTGTGTGTTCCTTTCACAAATTGGTTCTGATAAACAGCATCCCTATCTTCCGAGCATGGGAAAAGAGCATACAATCTTCCTTCCTTCATGACAGACATTCAAAGCACTGGATAAGGGTTTGTTTTGTGGGCACATGATAAAATGTCATCCCTTGAACAACAAAGTGACAGTCTGGACCTTGTTAACGGCACTTCAATACTTTCAGCTTGCCTTCAAAACCCACAAGTTGGGCAAACAAGTGTCTCTTACCATTGAACCTGAGCCAGGACAATTTTAAGCAACATTCCCACTCCAGCAGGATTACACTATGCAACCTTGGAGTGATTTCCTCCTCTCAGGGTTGTAGACTTGTCACTAATGAGCCCCCCTTGCTCTGGTTAAATTCCATCACAGCCATGTAATTGTACAGTAAATATTTGGTGCCATCTGCCTGGGAAGATAAAAGCATGCTTGGAGAAGGAAAGTATGTGAATATCTATAACAAAGGTAAAATAATTTCATCCAGAGACTGAAAAGGGGCTCTGAAATGCTTAGTGAAGCAACATATAGTCCTATGTCTTCAGTGTAAGTCCAGTCTCTGCCACCTTTTGTCCATGTGGTCTTGAGCCTCTGCTGACCTCTCTGACCCTCTCTTCTTCTGTGAAATGGTGATAATAATACTTCCCAGGGATGTTATGAAACTCAAAAGAATATAATAATAATTTATAGCTATAGTTTATTGAGTACTTAATACATACTTGGCCTTGTTCTGAATACTTTCCAAGGTGTTGGCTTATTTATTCTTTACATCAACTTTAGGGAGTAGGTACTGTACTATTCCCATTTTACAGATGAGGACAGTGAGTCTAGAAAGGCCAAATAACTAGCTCAGGTTCTCATACTTAGGAAGAGGGGGAGCCAGGACCTGAACCTATTTTGCCTGGCTCTGTAGCCCACACTCTTAACCACCAAGCAGTACTCAGAAAGGATTTTGTCCATTTAGACCCACCGTTCTCAGAATACTCAAGATGCGCAGGGACTGCACCAGCTTACTGGGGTCAGTT